TTGAGGCAGGGTCTCTATGCAGTTCAGGCTAGCCTTGAACCCAACTAGATAGCCCAGACTGGCCTAGAACTTGGGCTAGAATCCTCCTGCCTCAGCCTCCTGAGTGCCAGGATTACAGGTGTGTACCACCATGCCTGGCCATAGCCACACACGAAACTCTAAAAAGCAAACTACTTCAAACAGGTTTCTATAATGACATGTTGGGCCCTGAGAATTGATTTTACAAGTGAAAGAGCTCAATGATTCCCCCACTGACCTGATTTTTAGTGTCTCAAACTCCCAACCCAGACTGACCCCAGCGAGGCTGGAACAAGCATTGTTTTCAAATGTCTCCCACTGATTTTCAGGAACACTTGGACCGCAGGGGTGGGGATGGCGTCCTTAAAACTTTGGCCTCTGTGGTGGCCTTTGTCATGCTGCATGACTAACATTCTGGGAGTCTGTCTTATCTGTACTTAAAATATATACAGAAAAAGCAGAATGCGTCCCAGTGTCAGCCGCAGTTTTCAAAGCACTTGAACCTTTGAGCTGTGGCCTGCGCAGCTTTTGTAAAAGCAGAGGAAGAGCTTAGCTGAGTCCCAGTCCCCTAAGGTGGTGGCCCCACCGTCCTCACTCCAAGTCTGGGTGGCGCTGGTCATGCTAAGGGGTACTCCCGGCCGCGGTGGCCAACACCAAGCCTTCGCCTCAGCCTCCCGCCTGGCACCCGCCTCCCCGGCCGGGCCCACCGGGCTACCCGTGCTGAGCTCTGATGAGCTCGCCAAGCAGGCCTGGTCCTGGAGGAGCTCAAAGGCCAGAGACCTCCCCAGAGATGAGGAAGCTTTGATCCCAGTGATTTGCCTTGGGCTAAAGACCTCTGGTTGGCCACTCCTCTAATGAGGCTAGGACCTAGGATCCCTCTCTGTCTCTCTCTCTCTCTCTCTCTCTGTCTCTCTCTCAGACTTGCTTTTCTGCAAAGGGAAAGCTGAGGCAAGGACTCGGCTCCAGCGCTCCCTCTGTGGAGAGGGAAAGCCCACGCACTGCAGGCTCCCGGGCTCTCTGGCAAACATTTACTGAAGTCACCGTGGTAGCGGGCAGCAGGTGAGGACCCTGGAGGCACCCAAAGTCCCTCAGCCCAGTAATTCTGTTGGACATGAAAGCAGGTGGGCAGTTGAGGTCTTTCCTACCCTGTTTCCCCACCTATTCAGTTCCAATCCTTTTATCCTTTATACGGGGGACATGGTCTAAAACCGGGCCTCGCTGTGTAGTTCAGGCTGGCCTCGAACTCATAGTGATTCTCCTGCCTTAGCTGTGCAAGTGCTGGGATTTCAGGTGTTCCGTATTAAAAGCAGAAAGTGCTTTTACTATAAAGGTGAGTTCAAAATCAGATCCGAGCTGCACGTGCAGTGTCTGGAGCCACTCTGCCTGCTCCACGCTTCTCAGACTTCTTAGCTGAGTGGCCTTGAACAAGGTACTAATGTCCCAGTGTCTCAGTTTCCTTACCTGTGAAATGGGGAAAGTAACGGTCCCTACTTCATACAGGTGCAGTGACTTAATGCATGTAAACAACCTCGCACATCATTTGCTGACCCTCTACAGCCTCAAAAGCAGAAAACACACCAAGATGCTAGCAGACATTTGGATGACGAGGCAGCTGGTGATTTCTTTCTTTCTCTTATTTTTTCCCGCTTTTTTTATTTCTAAAATTTTCATTAAATATGTGTCAATTTTTAAAACACTAAGTTGAAGCCAATTATATTAAGATCTACTAATTTTGTTTTTTCTGGTACTGGGGATTGAGCCTAAGGCCTTCTCACTGAGCTATATATATCCCCAGCCCTTTATTTTTTATTTTGAGACAGGGTCTTACTAAGCTGCCCAGGCAGGACTCCAACTTGCAATCTGCTGGCCACAGCCTCCCAAAGTACCCCACAAACACTGTTTTTGTTTATGACAAGGCCTAAAAGACCCTGCATAGATGGCCACAAGCAAGATCTGGAATATCGAGCTGCCAGGACTGGAGACTTGGGTCCCAAGTTCCCCTTTGGAAAAGGAGGGACCCGCAGCCTGGATAGCAGAAAGCACCCAGAGCAACATGATAGTCACAGAGTTCCACCCCCTACACTGCTCCCTGCTCCCTGGGGGTTCTTGGAACAAGCTCTTTCCTTCCCTACAAGAAGAAGTCTATAGCCCAGCTGGAATACCAGAATGAGGGAGGCTGAGCCAGGGAGATCTCCATGATTTTGAGGCTATCTTGGGCTATATAATGAGTTGAAGACCAACGTGGACTGCATAGTGAGATGCTGTCTCCAAACACCAAAGAACAAAACAAACAGAAAATGAAATTCTGAGACAGAGCGTGGTCCCACTGCTCTCTGTTTACACACCTGGGCTTGGAGAGGGGAGGCTGCTCTCCCTGGACGTTTGCAACCCTTCCTGGATCCTTCCAGCTTCCAGGCTCAGCTCCAGGCAAACTGCAAAGAAATTCCACCTTCCAAGGGTAGGGCGAGGTAGAGCTTAGGAGGGTGAGGTGCTCTCAGCCCCCAGCACTGCTGGTAGCTTATCCGACTGCACGAGGGGTGAAATCACTGCCCACGGGGAGGGTCCCGTGCCTTCCCTCACTGCTCCTGGCCTACCAGGCTTTCTTTATCTGTGAGTATTACATCCGGTTAACACAGACCACCTGTGGCCCTAGCAAGGAAAACGTGAATAAAGAACTGTTTGCAACCTGGCTTCAGCCCGTAGCACGTTAGGAAAGGGACTGAAGTTGCAACAGTCATTATGTCAATTTTTTTTTTTTTTTTTTTAGATAGCATCTCTCTATGTAGTTCAGACTGGTCTCATTATGGAGCCCAGGTTGACCTCAAACTTGTGGCAATCCTCCTGCCTCAGCGTCCCAAGCCTGAGATTCCAGGCACGCATGCTATGACCGGCCTGTCAAATTTTAAAATGTTAGCTAGGTGGCATATGCCTGGAATTTCAGCACTCAGGGAGGCTGAGGTGGGACGATTGCCTTGAATTTGAGCAAGCCTGAGTTACATAGTGAATACGCTGTCTCAACACACACACACACCCCCATTTGCAAAACAAAACAAATATGTACACTCATATTTAATTACATGGTTCACAAAGCTGTGTGACCTTGGACAAGTTACTTGACCTTTCTGGGCTTCTGGTGTCCAGTTTGTAAAATGGAGTTAATACTGGAACCAACCTCACAGGGCTAATATAAGGAGTAAGTGAGTTCATGTTCATGAAATACTGATGATAATCCCCAGTAAGTATTCAGTGACAAAAATAAATCATGTGAAATAAACAAATCTTTCAAGAGCTCTGCTTGGCTCTGACTGTATACCTGCCTCATTACTGTCCTCCGATGAGATTGTAACCAACCCCACGCCAAAGCTGTGGGTTCAGGTTCATCATGGGAAAAGAAAGTTCAGTTCTTATCTATTTGTGGGAAATAATGAGCATTTTCGGAATGAAAAAGACACTCGAAGCAATGAAATCCCCGAACCCAGAACTGCAGATGAGTTTGGGACTTCTGCTCCAGCCGGGCACAGGGCGGGCATTGCTGCCCACCCTTCTGCCCTTCCAGAGGGCCCAGAGTCTGCCGATCAGTCGGGGGTGTCCTCGACTACACCTCAGCGTAAAGCTGGCCGCGGGGTCACTTTGCCCACAGGACACTTGGCTCCTCCCAAATCTCCCGCTGTCCCGGTTGGAACCGCCCGCTCTGCCCTCCTGGGCCCAACGCCTCAGGGCTTTGGAGTCCCCTGCGGCCTGAGCTAAGCCCCAAATTCCACTGGGACAAACACCCAAGGCCCTCCTGAGGATGCACAAAGATCTGTGACAAGTGAGAAGCCACCCAGTGGCTTCGGCTGGGGCAGATGCTCCGGTCGCTGGCGCCGCAATGGTCTCCATCAGCCAGGCCCAGGCCTTCTCCACTTCAGCCCGGGTCCCCTGACAGCAGCGGTGCAGAGCATGGTGGGGACTCTCGGGGAGCACAGCTCTTGCGATGAGCAGCTGAGCAGCTGGGCCAGCAGGGTGGGGAGAGGGACCGAGACACACGCTGGGCCCTGTCACACACCCCGCTAGGAGACGAGGGGCCGGCAGGGCAGTGTTCCCAGAAATGTAGAAGGCCCAGGCAGAACCGGCCCGGAGACCTGCCACTCTGAGCCGCTGTTACTTCTGCGGGCAGGTCAG